TTTTGACACTCAAATCTTATTTAGGAAATACATTTTGTAAGACTGTGGCTGCCACAGGTAATGATTCCTCTGATGGATCTGGGCAAAGCAAGTTGAAAACCTTCTGGAAAAGATTCACCATTCTAGATGCCATTAAGAACATTTGTGATTTGTGGGAAGAGGTCAAAATATCAACATGAACAGGAGTTTGGAAGATGCTGATTCCAATCCTCAAGGATGACTTTGAGGGGTTCAAGACTTCAGCAGAGGAAGTAACCACAATTGTGGTGGAAATAGCAAGAGAGCTGGGAGTGGAGCCTCAAGATGGGACTGCATTATTACAATCTTGTGATGAAACTTGAATGGATGAGGAGCTGCTGCTTATGGATAAGCAAAGAGAGTGTTTTCTTGGGATGGAAATCTACTCCTGAGATGCTGTGAAGATTGTTGAAATGACAACAAATGATTTAGAAGATCACGTAAACGTCCTTGATAAAGCAGTGGTAGGGTTTGAAAGGATTGCCTCTAATTTGGAAAGAGGTTCTACTGTGTGTAAAATGCTGTCGATCAGCATCGCATGCTACAGAGAAACCATTCATAAAAGGAAGAGTCAATCGATTTGGCAAACTTCATCGTTGTCTTATTTTAAGAAATTGTTACAGACACCCCACCATCAGCAATGATCAGTTACCCTGATCAGTCAGCAGCCATTAACACTGAGGCAAGACCTGCACCAGCAAAAATAATTACAACTTGCTGGAAGCTCAAATGATGGCGAGCATTTTTTAGCAGTATTTTTATATATATTTTTTTAAAGATTTTATTTATTTATTTGACAGAGAGAGAGCCAGCAGGCAGAGGGAGAGGGACAAGTAGGCTCCCTGCTGAGCAGCAAGCCTGATGTAGGACTCGATCCCAAGACCCTGGGATCATGACCTGAGCAGAAGGCAGACACTTAACCGACTGAGCCACTCAGGCGCCCCTTAGCAATATTTTTAAATTAAGGTATGCACATTGCTTTTAGGTATAATACCACTGCACACTTAGTAGACTATAGTGTAAACCTAACTTTTGTATGCACTGGAAAACCAAAAAAATAATTTGACTCACCTCATTGTGGTGGTCTAGAACCAAATCCACAATAATTATAAAGTAAATGGATTTTTTTTTTGTCTAAAATTTCATCAGGAAAAATGCCTCTTCTATCCATAGAAGTTGTGATCATTCCATGAAGAGGGATAGTAGTTTCATCCTTCTACACAATGCCACCAGCCCTATAGGTGGCATATAACATAAACTAGCCAACCAGACTTTTGCCAGAGCTATAGGAAAGATTTTATTTTTGAAGTGGGTGCCAGCTGAAGGGAGCTAAGCTAAAAGGTGGACAGAGTAAGCACTATTATTTGAACCTCCAAATCAAACCACACTTTCCTGAGCTTTCCATATTCAAGCCAAAAATAATTTCCTCATTTTGTTTAAGCTGGTTTGATTTGGGTTTCTCTCACTTAACACTTAAAGAGTAATGCAAAATTCTTTTCTAAAATATCTTCTTTGGACTACTTAAATTGAGACTACTGAATGTAGTCTATTACCTGTATCCATCACTTTCATATTACAGTCTACTAGCCCCAACTGTAAAATGGGAGTAACAGCATCTACTTTAGAAAAAATTTTATGAGGAGCTAAAGCACATGCATAAAAACCCCAACTGCCATGCCTGGCATTCAACAAATATCACTTCTCTTCCCTGTTTCTCCATTACCTTTCCAAAACATCAACAGCAATAATCTGAGCCTTTATAATTCTGTTTTTCACGTATCAACTCATTTAATATATGCGATCACCATGAAGTAGGTACTATCATTAGCCCCATCTTGTAGAGGGGGGAAAGGAGGTGCAGAGAGGTTTTGTAGCTTATCCAAGGATACACACATTATGCGAAAGCTGGGGTACAAATTATCACATTATGCAATCATAAAGTCCTGTGTTTTCTGTATTTCATTTTTGCTGTGAGGCTTACTGCACAGTTAATGATGAATAAAGCAAGGAAAGTTCTAAGTGCAGACCTAAGGGGCACAATATATTTAGTACAGATGTTTTAAGATAATTTGGAGGGGGTTTTTTTGCTTGTTACCTTGTATAAAGTGTAGTGTCAATATACGTACATACTTATGCTCTATTTTTCAATTATACCCTAAAAGAACCTCAGTCAGCAATGAGAACAGCTAATGTTTACTGAGCACTTATAATGTGCCAGGCACCCTGCCAAGCATTAACTTAAGTATTTCATTCATCCCTCATAATCACGTGAAAAAGTATTAAGAACAGTAACAGCTGAGTAGACCCAAGGACGGTGAGAGAGCGGTGGGCGGGCAGGGAGGGAAATGTGTACAGTCTGGCCTACTGGGCTCTGCATTCACTGTGAGGGCAAGGGCAGGGTCTATCTTACTCTCCTGGCACCTACTATATGCAGAGCACCCAGTTAATGAATGAGTATACGCTCTTTACTAAAAAAGAGAGCACTTTCAAATGATATAAAAGGTGACTTTAATGTGAAAGGGGCATTTGTTGTGTAGAAAGGAAAAAGCTTTAAAGGCAGATCTTTTCTTGACAATTTACAGTTCCTTTTTTAATCCTAAAAACCCCACATTGTCACTGTAACACTGATCTCCCTTCCCCTTTTCATCAGGCAGATCTGCATTCTGTATCCAACAAACACCCAACCAGGGAGACCAGAAGGTGAGCATGTCTGATAGGAGATGGAGAGAAGGATCATTTGAAAAACAGCAAGTCAGCCATGAAATAAGTTTATTTTATGATTCAATTTAATCCTCCTTACCCCCACCTTTTTTATATTATGAGCAATATATGCCATTAGTATAGCTATTAAGGGTGAAAGGATTAATTAAAATTATAATCTGATAAGACAAGCATACTGTCAAGCCTGATTTAGGGCAAATTCATCTACTTCAATTAAAAATACTGGACAGGAAAAAAAAATGAAATAAAAACTATGCAGGTCCTGTTTCTACCATGAATTTCCTAAATGACCTAAGGTATCACTCAAACAAAGAGTCATAGTGTGTTTTTAGTTTTTATTAGTTAACAGTTCTTCGTACAAATAACAAATTTAACTTGACATTTAGGAAAAAAAATGATTTACTCTCTGAGGTTTGTTCATAGAGAAAAACCTGTTCTGTACACTTTAAATTTTAATGTCTAACACCATAATGGTTCTAAGTCTATAACTTAATTTTAGGTTTAATTTTAATAATTCTGTCCTACTATATCTGGTGAAAGAGACCAGAAAACATTATGTAGGAAAAAAGCAAGAGACTAATTAATGACCTGAATATAAAACTTTTACTAAAAGGCTTTTAAAAAGCCTCTTAAAACAATCTAAAAATCAGAATACTTTTGGCAGAAAAATTAGCAACTATAAAAATTAACATTACATAATATTTTATCAAGAACTACATTACAATATTGTGGTTTACAGATATTAGAATGATTTGCGGCATACTAAAATCTTATTTATATCAGACATAAAAATCTCTTTGCTAAAACAATTTTTAAATGTAGTTTAGCACTTTTGGGAGACTCAGTTCCCAATGAATGACAGTAACACAATTTAGAAGACGACAGATAGAATATCTTTTCATTAGAGACCTATCCAGGTAAGTCTTGCCAAATAGTTATGAAATTATATTCAATAACAAGCATTAAGAACTCAAGATAAAACAGTAACTCGGGTCCCCTCATCAGTATATATGCTTGGCATCAGAAATCATACTATTAGTGAATACATACTAAATTCTGGGGGTGGGGGGGAAGCTCACTTTAGAATTGTCAATCTACATTTTTTATGCTTTCCCTGATACACTGTTTCTCCCACTCTTCACTTTAACAGTGTTTTCTCATTGGTTGGTGGTATATTACCACTTCTTAAAGACCAATCATACCCAACATAATCCAAGGTCATCAACTCCTTTGTAGCTGAAGTAAGCTACAAACAGCAGAAAACCAACACATTTCAACAGAAAAACAACCGCCCTACTCAGCAAGGCAGAAGCCCCATCTCTAAAACATTTTTAAACAATGGTTGCTTTAAAATTAGTCCTATAAGCCCAACAGTATTACACTATCATTATCATTGGTTTTGACAGCAAGTTCAAACCTTAAAAATATGTATTAAAAATTTCCAAGTTAGATTACTCTGGAAACATAACTGAGTTGAAAAATCTTTCTATATTATTAGGATGAAATTTCTTTAATTTCATGTATTTGGGTATGAGATTTCATACCCAGTCACTGAGATACAGAGTATAAGAGGAAAAGAATTACTGATTACCACTGTACCCAAGTCTCCAGGAGCTATGACAGAGGAATTATCCAAGCAAACAGACAAATGTCTTCTGATCTCAACCTAATATGTTAGCAGAGTTGCAGGCAAGCAATTTAATGCATCTCCTAAGTGGGAAATCCCTATGTTGTCACAGCTTCCACTTAAGAGTAGCTCAACTATGCTATGTGAGAAAGGGACCCCTGTCCACAGAGGACAGAGCAGGGCTCCTAAGTAGCACCAGTGCTCCACCATCTGGGAGCTATCTTCCCAACCCAGAGCCTCCCACCTTCAATTTCCACTCGACAAGACTATATTTACTTCAATGAGGACATGACCAAAAATAAGTAAATAAATAGGGATAAAAATAGGAAATAAATATGAACTCCAATGGAGTAAAACTTCCTATAGAGCTGATTAAGAGGTAAAACCTATTGGTAAATAAAAAGCCAAAACCAAGCAAAATACATCTCTGTTTTTGGGTTCATTCAAAAGTCTCCTTCATTCTTGGCAAACTATGTGGTAAGATATGATCTACTTTCCATTTACACTGTATTTGTCTATTAAAAATCATTCCTTAATAAGGACTTTTTAATATTAAAAATTCTAAAGGTTTATAATAAATATTGTATTAAAATATTTTAATATTTACAATTGGAAAAATGTATACTGTAGTCAGTCATCTCAGGGCTACTTCTTCAATTTCATCTTCTACAGATTCCACTGCTTTTACTGCTGGTTTACTGTTTGCATGTTTTAATCGGTGTCTATTTGGATTAAAACTTCTTCCTTCGCTGAGGAAAAAGTCATCATCTTCATCATGTTCTCTATCCCCGCTGCTCTTATCCCCTGGGAGAAAATTTAGAGGGTCAAAGTCTCCTTTGCTGGCAGCCCGAGAATTTGCGTCACTGCTTTTAGAGGAAATGGTGTTGCTGCCACTGGCACCAAACAGCTGTTCCATCAGATTAGCTTTTTTCTCTCTTCTTGTAATTAAATCTACACTGTCTTTACTATGTTTCTCTATACTGTTTCTTTGGACATCCACAAGGCCACTCTTTTGGCTAAATGGATTTGACTTCCCTGATGTTTTCGCAAATGAAGGCACATAGCTGCCAAATGCAAGCTCATTTGGGAAGGCTGGGCTTCTAGTATTTCCTGGATTCTGACCATCTCCTTTTGGAGTGAAAAGGCTGATGTCTTGCAGATGATGCCCATTAGATACTCTCTCTGAGGATTCAGAGAACATGTATGTTTTGGGGCTTCTCTCTGGGGAATGCAGTTTTGATTCTGAATCAGGTAGCAATGGCAGAGGAGGGCATTTTATATCCCGAGAATCTTGGAGTTCTCTGTTGATCTCATTCAGTTTAGCAAGTAGCATTTCTCTCTTTAGCCTTTCTTCTTCCTCTTCTTCCAATTTATCAATATTTTGAATTTGGTACATTTCCATTTGGTATCTTCCAGTTTCCAATGTGGGCTTTTCTTCTCTCTCCAGCAAAGATATCTTGTCTTTTTGCTTTTTAGCAAGTTCTTCTCTTTCCCATTCTGTATGAAATCAAATTTAAAAAATGGGATTTTACAGCAGTCATTATTTTTAAGTAATTTTTAAAACTTATTTTTAAAACTTAATTCTCATCTATTACAAAACAGTCTATCTAATTTAGTTATCAGTACAGTGAGAATGAACACCATAAATTTCATTGCTACACTTGATATTCTGGAATTCAGAAAGAATATACTTAATGTGTATTGCATTTAAAATTCACATTTATAGAAAAAATTTTGTTCTTCAGTGTAGAGGTAATTGGAAGGTTTTCTCTTTTTTTATACCTAATATAGTGCTGTACACTGAATGGATGTACACTGAAGAGATGGATGGAGTTTATTTTAAACTTAAACTGAACCTCTGGGTGTCCTACCCTGAGAAGGACACAACATCACTCATTTGGTATTCTGACTGAAGATACATTAAGTTGAATCTAATTAAGAGAACACTTCAGATAAACCTCAAATGAGGAACATTCTATTTTTTAAAAATGGGTCTTTATTCATCAAAAATGTTAACCTCAAAAATATTTAGAGAAGACTAAAGAGATAGGAGAACTAAATGCAATTCATGATCATATCCTGGAGAGAAGAAAATGCTATAAAGAACAATACTATATCAAATAATAAAACTAATATGGACAGCAGATTAATGTGTTGTATCACAGTTAAATTTTCTGAAGTTGAAAACTATACTGGAATGATGTTAGAAAATGTCCTTATTTTGTAAAAGTACACATGCAAGTATTTTAAGGTATGGGCATGAGATACACAACTTACTCTTAGTAACTTTAGTAAATGGCATACATTCTCACTGATGTTTGAGATCATTATTCCATACAAACTCCAGGAAAAAAAAATAAGGATGAAAAGAAGGGGCCAGTCTTCTGTTACTTTATTCCTTTTCCTGGTACCTAGGAAGACCACAGTACCTTTCTATTCTGTTTTATTAATAATGTGAAAGAATCTCCCTTTGTGCCTTAGCCAATAGTAATATATCTTCTATTTCAACTGTTACATTGATTTAAGTACACACACACAAATATACATTCACTAATTTAAGCAACAATTTGGTCATAATTTTATGTTCCATTAACTTTAAGGGAAAAAAAGGATTTCTCTGCAAGAAGCTTCTATAAAACTAATGAAATATATATAGAGGATTAGAGTCAGGGATTCCTCTTACCCATACCTTTAAGACATTTTATCCAGATGGAAATGAATTTATTCCTTAACTTCATTTTCAGTATCTGAAACTATGTGAGTTGGTTCACTAAACTTCCACACTATTGGTTAAACATGTTAAAGATTTACTTTCATACTAAAATGAAAGAAAACTTACAGGAATATATTTAGAACCTCACAATTCATTGATTTTAATGTTTGGGCTAGTCTACAGAGTCTCAAGGTCAAGCCAATAGAGTGCATTGTCTATCAGTTATCTCTTCATCAAGCTTTAGCTAACATACACACAAAAATTTCCCCTTTTATCTGAATTTTACTTCATCTGAATTTTCTGAAGGTAACTTGTCCTTATTCCCTAACCCCAAACAGCAACTTAACCATTATGTTCTTCTTTCCTTAGTAACTTTATTCAAATGTTTGTGATTCCTAATAGACCATCCCCTACCACTGTATCAACCTTTTGTTATTCTGTATAACCAATTCACTGTTCAGCGGGAAAATATCAGGGGATGCTAACCCTTTCTTTTCCAAAGGATGCTGATTCATCACTTGATAAAACAAACTCTTTCTTACCATCTTCCAGCTTCTCAACCTCCTGATTTACAACATGGAGTCCTTGATCTTTAAAAAATTTTTCTTCTCTTTTCACAATTGGGTTTAGAATCCCTGCTTCTTCATGTTTACCTCTCTCTTGCAATTCCAGGTCCTATTACATATTTTTTTAAAAATGCAAGTTCACATGTCAAAAGGGGGAAAAGCTATTTAAATATCATAGTCATCTCCCATTAAATATGACACCAAGTAAGTTAGAAATTAAAGCAAATTTTAATTTAATAAAGCAGTAAGTCACAAGCTACCACCCTTTGAAAGATATTTTAAAGGCACACAAGATTACTTAAAATTTTTTTTAAAAAGTATAACATATATCAGAACCAATATCATGGAATTAAAGCCAATACCCTACATAAAATTCTTAAGAGACATGTTTCCGAAGTATCCTTGCTTTGTACGTTTCACAACAAAATCTGATTAATTCAGTTAACGAGGAAAGGTTATTAGCCAACTATGGAGGCCACATGAGAAGGCGCTGCTGAACTATAATACAGGCAGTAACAACTGCACTGAATCTTTCGAGTTTATACTTACTGTGTCCAAAGCCTCCAGTAAATTTTATATTTAAATCAAATAAAAATGAAAACTTAAAATTACTTTTATATGGTCCCTTTCACGTGTATAATTTTTCTGAATAAAAGAAAAATACCTATTATTAGTACAGCAGTGGATTGTCCCCTAGTATCAATTTTCCTCTTCTTCCTTTTAGTTACAGAATCCCTTGAGTTTTAGCAGGGTTTAAGGCTGCTCAACTGGAAACTACATTTGCTAGTCTCCCTTGCACTTAAATAGGACCAAAGAGATTTGAGTGAAAGTATGTATGCAACTTCTGATCACATTTATAACAATAAAAGCTGCTTGCCCTCCACTTCCTTGTTCCTCCTTCTCACAAAGGTGGTGAGCCAGTTCCAACCATACAGAGGAACCATACACTCTTTAAGATGGAAGAACAGTAAGACAGAGGATGACTACCAAGGAACAAAGCTGTCTACCTATAATGGACTACCCACTGACCTTCAATCTATTAGAAAAGAAAGAGAACTTGTATCTTTCTTAAGCCACTGTATTCTGGGTCTCTTTCCAACAGGAAATTTGCTTGCACTTTAACAATGTTCCCTTTTGCTGAGACCCTTTAAAGTGGCAGGATCAGTCTTAAGAACTTTATAAACTGTGTGATTAGTTATTACCACAACCTGATGGACAGCCCATCCTTGTTTTATAGATTAGGAATTGGGGCTCCAGGAAGTCACACGTGTCAGAGCCAGAATTTAATTAAAAAGGCAGTGCTAACTCCAAGGCTATACGCTTTCACTGTATCAGGTTGCTGCTCCTCATGCTGCATCTTACAAAGACCATTTTTTTAGTCCTTTTAAAGTTAAGAATGACTTTGCTATTTCAAAAAGACAACATGATTTAGTTTCAAAGACAGTGAAAATATAGGAAGAAAGACACTTAGCAGATACAGCTACTCAGGAACCCAATCAGACCATCTTTTCTCTTTTATACCACAAGAAAAAAATCTCAGGGTCACTGGGAAATCTATAAGGCACAAAAACACAGGAATATATGAGATATGCTGGATCCCTGGTATATTGTTTTCTTTGGAATTTAAAACTATAAATACAAAATATAGAACCTCTTAGAGAAAAGAACATTGTGGTATTCTGTTTAAAAGTCCTTTTAAATGAAGGCCCAACACAGACTCCCCTGAATGTCACTCTAATTTGAATAGTCTGAAGTCAGATTCCACTGCAATACTTTGCTCAACATTCAGCTAATCTGTAAAATTCTTAAATAGGAGACCAAAAAATATGTAGATAAATCCTAAAAAATTATTTGAAAACTAGTAAAATTTGCTAATAAGTGTAAAAGCAAGGAGGGTTTTTAGAAATTATCTGGGTACATAAAAGGTAAGAACCTCTATTTCTGGGGCACCTGGGTGCCTTCAGTTGGTTAAGCATCTGATTCTTGATTTCAGCACAGGTCATATCTCAGCACAGGTCATGATCTCAGGATCGTGAGATCGAGCCCTGCTTTGGGCTCTGCACTGAGCGTGGAGCCTGCTTAAGATTCTCTCTTTCCCTCTCCCACTGATCTCTTTCTCTCTCTCTAAAAAAAAAGAAAAAAAAAAGAAAAACCTCTATCTTCAACCCAGAAGGTACAACTAACCTTCCTGAAGCATCTGGAAGATGCAATGAAAACTAAGAGTCAATCCAAAGGAATTTAATAAAATACTCTCTTTAGAAGGCTACTTGCATATTTACACAGATACAGTACTGATATTGTGTTTTTGGGAATAACTTCAAAGCTAGAGTTTAGTACCTAATCATGTTGCTAAACTCACCAAAGTAAGATGTTCAGGTTCTTCCCATCTGTTTTCATAACACATAACTGTTTGTGGTGTTATAGGAAATTCTTCCAGTTCCACGTCTTCACTGGTTTGTACTCCTTTTGTACACTGGTTTGTAAAATCACTCTGGCATGCGGCTACCATGAAAATTACAGAAGTCTTCATTGAACAGTGCTAAGATATATGGAATTTAACTGGTATATGTTTGCCATCTACATGATATAATGCATGTTTTGCTCAGCTCTATGACTAGTACTATCTTTTTTTTCTAGGATTTACTGGCAATTATGTAATTTGAGGACAATTTAGACAGGTAAACCCTGTTAAAGTTTGTTTTTAACTTTCTGCAATTCAGAAGAGGAAAATTTATACTTTTATTTAAAAAAAAAGTAAAGATATGCATAATAATACCAAAGTATTTATGAGTGAAATGAAATGACAGCTGGGATTTACTTTAAAATAGTCTAAAAAAAAAATACTCTAGAAGTAGAAAAAAATAGATGAAATAAGATTAGTAAAATATGTAACTGTTAAAGCTAAGTGATGCATAAATAAAGGTTCATTAAAATATAATCAAGCACCAGTTTGGAGTCTTATTTTCATAAAAGTTTCAAAAATTATAAGAAAAAATTTAAACCTTAGAAAAAATAGAAAATTGACATGATTTCTGAAAATTAACTATAAGGAAATTTAAATTTACTTCAGTGAAGTTCTTTCTCCTTCCTTCTACTTTAGAATTATTTGATTTTATTATTAATAAGTGACAACTACAATGTTTTTCAATAATAATAGCTACTATACCATTTTTTCTTGATCTAAGTTCTTTTTCTTTCTTTGGAGAAGACTTTGGTAGCCGATTAGAATATATGTTTTTTATATCCAGTTCTCTCTCCTTTTCCTGAAAAGTAACCCAATACAATTAAGGATGTAGAGTATGAGTTTAAAATAAAACAGAAAAATTCTCACCTTGCCAACTGGTATTTTCCTTACCAAACTGGAAAATATTATACCTAGTTCAGTTTCCCTTCTTAATTATTGAACTATAGAAAGGAATATCTCTAGGACATCTAGGTTAGGGCAGTGATTCTCCCTAAAAAGTGCAATATGTACTGGCAAACAAAAAAATTAAAGTAAATAAGGCAAAATTCACTTTCTACCCATTCCTACCTAATAGAGCTAGTAAGGTCTTAAGACTGTCTTCCAAGCTTGGCAACAGAGACCAAAATAATTTCATTAGCATCTTTCAAACATGGCCTTGGAGTTACTGACAAGTTAAAAATTGGACTTTTTAAAAACACAGTGTTCTTTTATCATTTTGAGGCTATGGTTCTTAGAATTTGATTAACAAAAAATTCTATGTAAGATAATGCATGAACATTCAATTTTGCACAAAATTTCCACCCATCAACAACCTCTGGATAGAATTAAGAACACCTTTAACAAAATTAAATAATGTGAATGCTTCCTCTCAACGCTGTGAAAATGAAGGGCATTATTTGAAACAACTTTTAAAATAATCCTAGGGTTATCTGAGAAGAACACTGGGATATTTAATCACACAACAGAGAAAAACTCCAGTTCCCATAATTCCTTCCAGGATTTCATAATTTATTTTAGTTATATCAATTCTATTAGGATTCAATGTGTCACTTTTGGCATTTGTCATGGTGATTATATTAACAAAACTTCTCTTTAAAAGTACCAAAGAGAATAGAATTTTGTAAATTACATTGTCCCAACTTATAAATATGAATGTTTTTTACAATGCTGAATGTTCAATATATTTTATATATATATTATCCATTAAATAAATGAACACATACTTACTTTTAATTTGTGATACAGTTGTTGTAGCTCCTTTTGAAGGACTTTATTTTCATCATGAGCCTCATATGCCCTTTTCCTTTCAGCAAGCAACTGTCTTTGGAAACTGTTAGTACTCAGCTCAAGGTTTTTGGATAGTTCCTATAATGTGTATATAAACATATAAAAAAATAGTACTTGAAAATAACAAGAGTAAAACACTGCACTTAGCATTGAAATAATGTTTTTAGTAGTACCATAAAAGACCTACAAATCAGGCTGTGCTTAGTGTTTATGAACATAAACTGGAAAACAGATCTACCAACAATTTAGTAAGGTACTTAGCCTATTATTCCTTATTTTGCTTTTCACAGTGATTTGCAAATAAATCCTTAAGCATTTGCCTGAAGCATACATGAACAGTCATTTAAGTTGGTTGCAAATTCAGCCAAAGCATGTGATGAGAAACACTGGCTTTTGGGAATCATAGTTCAGGCAAATATATACCAAGGCAGCTGCATAAAACTACACAGCACTATTCAAGGTGCAGAGATTACTTTGTAAAACATTTCTAGATAAAAATAAAAATCATTTCAATGGTCTTCAAACGTTTTCCATAAAGTTTGTGAAAAAATTTAGGTTAAAATCTTTTCTTTTAGGTGACATCAACATCATGGTGGCATGAGTCATTCCTTTTTTCCCCTTTCAATTTACAACTAATCAGATCCATAAAACAAACATCTATAATTAAACTAAAGCACTTCTGCACAGCACACCAGCATACCTGAGAGAACCATCCATCTCTGCACCTGAAAGTGGGTGGACTGGATATCAGAGGAGGCTATGGAGCCAGGGCTGGTGGTACAGGTGGCAGAGGTGGTGGCAGGCCCATATGACCTTTCTGGCAGAGGAGGCGGAGGGTAAAGGTGGTAAGTGGGAATCTGCCCGGCCACATGTGCGGCAGTTGGAGGGACTCACTCTCTGAGACCACAGTGACTAAGGGGAGGAGAAGGAAAGGGAAGGAGGCAAAGAAAACTGAAGGAATGAAGGAATACCATTTCCTGGGCTGTAAACCCAGGATTCTGACAAGAGATCATCCACGAATCTCTGGGAGACATCCCCCAACTCAAGGATCCCCTACTGGGAAATGGGCACAGCCAAAGAATTAAGTGGTAAGCACACACCTCCCTCCACTCTGCCACCACACCTCTTCTTTCCCATCCATCAGCTTTTTTTAATTGTATAATTTTTTTTCTCATATGCATTTTATTTGAAGGCCCCTGATTTTCTCAGTACTGTTACATGTATATAGGCTTCTGGTCCCTAGGGATGGCTTAAGGTCTTTAAATAACTCAAAGAACAATTGGGAACTTGAGCACTAACTAGATATTTGAAAATATTAAAAAGTTGTTAATTTTTTAGATGTTATTCTTGGTATCGGTTAATGGCATTGTTTTTAAAGTCTATATTTTAGAGAGATACAAGGTGAAATATTTAGGAATAAAACAATAGGATATTCAATATCTACTTCCAAATAATACAGAGAGGTGGAGGAGAGTATATATGAAAAAATATTTTCTATAAGGTGACATTTTTTATTGAAGTATAGTTGACCCACAATGTTAGTTTCCAGTGTACAACATAGTGATTCCACAACTCTATACCTTATGCTATGCTCAGCACAACTATAACTAACATTTCACCATACAATGCTATTACAGTATCACTGACTACATGCCCTATGTTGTGTCTTTTATTCCCGTGACTTATTCATTCCATAACTGGAAGCCTGTATCTCTACTCTGATTCACTCATTTTGTCCATCTCACCACCACTCTCCCCTCTGGCAAAAATCAGTTTGATTTCTGTCTTTATGGATCTGTTTCTGCCCTCCTTAGGCCCCATCACCTATTTAACCCATCCCCCCCAAGCCACCTCCTTCAGTAACCCTCAATTTGTTCTCTATAGTTAAGTCTCTTTTATGGTTTGCCCCCCCCTCTTTTTTCCCATGTTCATTTGTAAATGGAATTGTTTTCTTAATTTCACTTTCTGCTACTTCGTTATTAGTGTATAGAAACACAACTGACTTCTATTAATTTTGTATCCTGCAACTTTACTGAATTCATTTATTACTTCTAATGGTTTTGGCGGAGTCTTTAGTATTTCCTACATATGATCATGTCATCTGAAAACAGTGACAAGTTTAACTTTTTTCTTACCAATTTGGATGACTTTTATTTCCTGTCTAATTGCTATGCCTAGGTCTTCTTGTACTATGTTATATGAAAGTGGCAAGAACAAGACATCCTTGTCCTGTTACTAATCTTAAAGCTGTTTTGCCCCGAGTATGATGTTAGCTCTAAGTTTGTCATATATGGCCTTTATTATGTTGAGTTATGTTCCCTCTACACCCACTTTATTGAGAGATTTTATCATGAATGGATGTTGAATTTTGTCAAATGCTTTTTCTGCAGCTATCGTGCTGATTATATGATTATTATCCATCACTTTGTTAATGCTGTGTATCATGTTGACTGATTTTTGAATATCGACTGCCCTGATATCCTGGAATAAATCTGCCTTGATAATGGTGAATAATTTTAAAAAATATATTGAATGCAGTTTGCTAATATTTTATTGAGGATTTTTTTGTATCTGTGTTCATAAGGGATATTACTGGCCTATAGTTTTCTTTTTTTGTAGTGCCTTTGGTTTTGGTATCAAGGTAATATGACCTTGTAGAATATATCTGGAAGCTTTCCTAAAAACCTCTTCTATATTTTAGTTTGAGGAAAATAGGTATTAACTCTTCTTCAAATGTCTGGTAGAATTCACCTATGAATTCGTCTGGTCCTGGACTTTTGTTTGTTGAGAGTTTTTTAAATTATTAGTAACAAAATTGAATCAGTAATCAGTGTATTCAAATTTCCTATTTCTTTCTGATTCAGTTTTAGAAGATTGTATGTTTCTAGGAATTTATCCATTTCTTCTACGTTGTCCAATTTTTTGGCATATAATTTTTCATAGTAGCCTTTCATAATCCTTTGTCTCTGTGGTGTCATTTGTTAATTCTCTTTCATTTCTGAATTTATTTATTTAGGTCCCATCTCTTTTTCTTGGTGTGTCTGACTAAAGGTTTATCAATTTTTTTTTTTTCAAAGAGCCAGTTCTTGGTTTCATTGATCTTTTCTATTGTTTTTTTAAGTCTCTATTTCATTTATTTCTGTTCTGATCTTTATTATTTTCTCCCCTCGACTGGCTTTGGGCTTTGTTCTTCCTTTCCTAGTTCCTTTAGGTATAAGGTTATATTATTTGAAATTTTTGTTTCTTGAGGTAGGCCTTTATCATTTTAAAATTTCCCTCTTACACCTGCTTTTGCTATATCCCAAAGATTTTGAAACATTGCGTTTTCATTTTCAGTTGCTTCTATGTATTTTTCACTTCATGATTTCTTTGTTGACCTCTTGATTGTTTCATAACATGTTGTTTAGCCTCCTTGTTTGTGTTTATTCATATTCTTTTATTGTAACTGATTTCTAGTTTCATATCATTGTGGTCAGAAAGGATGCATGATATGAATTCAATCTTCTTAAATTTATTGAGACTTGCTTTGTAGCCTAATGTGATCTGTCCTGGAAAACGTTTCATGTGTACTTAAAAAGAATGTGTATTCTGTTGCTTTGGGATGGAATGTTCTGTTAAGTCCATCTGGTCTGTGTCATTCAGGCACTGATTTTCTGCCTAAATGATCTATCCATTGATATAAGTGGGGTGTTAAAATCCCCAACTGTTACTATTTTGCTGTCACTTTCTCCATTTATGTCTATTAGTATATGCTTCATGTATTTAGGAGCTCCAATGTTGGGTGCATAGTTAATTACAATTGTTATATCTTCTTCTGGTATTAACCCCTTTATTAGTAGTAATAAGAGATTAAAAAAGGGCATTATGTCTATTTTTTTCAAAGGTTTTATTTATTAGAGAGAGAGCATGAGTCGGGCGGGCAGAGGGAGAGGGAGAAGCAGACTTCCCACTGAACTGGGAGCCTGATGTGGGGCTGGATCCCAGGACCCTGGGATCATAACCTGAGTCGAAGGCAGACACTTAAATGACTGAACCACCCAGGTGCCCCTACATGTCTGTTTTAAATTCTACTTTATCTGTTTTAAGTATTGCTACCCCAGCTTTTTAAACTTTCACTTCCATTTGCATGAAATTATCTTTTCCCCTCTCTTCACTTTCAGTCTGTGTCTAGATCTGAAGTGACTCTCTTGCAGGCAGCATATAGAGGAGTCTTGTCTTTGTATCCATTCCTCCTAACCCCTCCCCACCATGTCTTTTGACTTGAACATGTAGGCCATTTCAATTACAGTAATCACTAATATCTATATACTTATTGCCATTTTGTTAATTATCTTCTGGTTGTTTTTGTAGTTCTTCTGTGTTCCTTTCTTCTCTTTGGGATGGAATGTTAAGTCCATCTGGTCTAAGGTCTCTTCCCTTTGGAATGACGGACGTTAGTGTTTTGTTTGGCTTACTTTCTCTTCATTTTCTTGTGTATCTATTATAGGTTTTAGATTTGTGGTTACCATAAGGCTCATATATAACATGCTAAGTACATATACCCAGTCTTAAGGTGATGATGGTACTTAAGTTCAAACACATTCTAAAAGAACTTCATTTTTTTACTTCTCCCTCTATTTTTTTTAATAATTTTTTTATTGTTATGTTAACCACCATACATTACATCATTAGTTTTTGATGTAGTGTTCCATGATTCATTGTT